ATTTTAGACTTCACATAAAACTGAAATTATACAGTGTTTGTCTTTCTTTGTCTGATTTATTTCAATTAGCATCAATATCCTTGAGGTTGATCCATGTTGTCACAAATGGCCACGTTTTATTCTTTTTTATGGTTGGGTAGAATTCTAATACATATCTTCTATATCTTCTTTATCCATTCATCCAATGATAGACACTTTGGTTGTTCCCATATTTTAATATTATAAATAATGCTTCTATGAATACAGGGGTACACATATCTTTTCATATTAGAGTTTTCATATTCTTCAGACAGATACCCAGTAGTAGAATTGCTGGATCATATGGTAGTTCTCTTTTTAGTTTTTTGAGAAACTTCCACACTGTTTTCATAGTAGGTGCACTACCAACAGTTTACATGCTCATCAATACTTGTCTTCTATTTTTCTGGTTCTAGCCATTCTGACAGGTGTGAGGTGATATCTCCTTGTAGTTTTGATTTGGATTTCTCTGATGATGAGTGATATTGAACATATTTTCATATGTCTGTTCATCATCCACATGTCTTCTTTGGAAAATGTCCATTCAGATCTTCTGCACATCAAAAAAAAATTTTTTTTTAATATTTTTATTTATTTCTAGGAGAGAGAGAGAGACAGCGTGAGCAGGGGAGGGTCAGAGAGAGAGGGAGATATAGACTCTGAAATATGCTCCAGGCTCCGAGCTGGCAGTCAGCACAGAGCCCGACGTGGGGCCGGAACCCACGAACCGCGAGATCATGACCTAAGCGAAAGTCGGACGCTTAACCGACTAAGCCACCCAGGCGCCCCTAAAAAAATTTTTTAATGATAGTTTTTTTAGTTTATTTATTATTTTGTGTGCGCATGACAGAGAGAGAGAGAGAGAGAGAGAGAACTAATGAAGGAGGGGAAGAGACAGGGAGAGAGAGAATCCGAAGCAAGGCCCATGTTCTATGCTGAGCCTGACATGGGGTTCCATCTCATGACTATGAGACTATGAGATCATGTCTTTAGCTGAAATCAAGAGTCGAATGCTTAACTGACTGAGTCACCTAGGTGCCCTCTGTCCAGTTTTAAAATTGGATTTTTAAAGTTGTTGTTACTGAGTTGTAGGAGTTCTTTATATATTTTGGATATTAACCCCTTATTGGACATATGATATGCAAATATCTTCTCCCATTTGGTAGATTGCCTTCTCGTGCAGAAAGCTTTTAGTTTGGTGTAGTCCGTGTTTATTTTTGCTTTTGTTTTCCTTGCCTTTGGAGTTAGATCCAGAAAAACATCATTAAGACCAATGTCAAGGAGCTTTCTGCTTATGTTGTCTTCTAGGAGTTTTATGGTTTTAGGTCTTACATTCAAGTTTTTAACCAATTAAAAAAAAATTTTTTTTAAATATTTATTTATTTTTGAGAGAGAGTGAGAGACAGACCACGAACAGGGGAGGGGCAGAGAGAGAAAGGGAGACACAGAATCCGATGCAGGCTCCAGGCTCTGAGCTGTCAGCACAGAGCCTGATGGGGGCTCAGACTCACGAACAGTGAGATCGTGACCTGAGCCAAAGTGGGATGCTTAACCGAGTCACCCAGGCGTCCCTCATTTTTAATCCATTTTGAGTTAACTTTTTTTTTATTAATTAGTGCCATTTCTTTTCAGTGTAATGAAATCCCTTTAACATTTCTCATAGTGCCAGTTTAGGAGAGATGTACTTCTTTAGCTTTTGCTTATGTGGCATGATTTTTAATCTCTCCTTCAATTCTGAGTGATAATCTTGCTGGGTAGTGTATTCTTGGTTGGAATTTTTTTTCTTTCAACATTTTGGTTATGTCAGGCCACTTTCTTCAGGCCTACAAAGTTTCTGCTGAGAAATCTATTGATAGCTTTTTGGGGTTTCCCCTGTACATAACACTTTTTCTCTTGCTTCCTTAAGATTCTCTCTTTATTTGAACATTTGACATTTTAATTATAATGTGTCTTGATGTGGACCTCTGTTCTTATTTGCAACTCTCTGGGCTTCCTGGAGCTGGATGTCTGTTTCCTTCCTTAGGTTAGGGAGTTTTTCAGCCATTATTTCTTCAAATAATTTTTCTGCCCCATTTTCTCTCTCTGCTTCTTTTGGGGCCTCCTACAATGTGAATGGTTTTCTACTTGATGTTGGTGTCTTAAGTGGTCTTCATTTTTTAAAATTCTTTTTTTCTATTGCTCTGTCAGGCTGAGTTTTATTGCTTTGTCTTCCAGCTTGCCAATGTGTTCTGTTTCATCCAGGTTGCTGTTGAACCCCTCCAGTGTATTTTTCAGTTCAGTTATTGTGTTCTTCAGTTCTGTGACTTCTGTTTGGTACTTTCTTATAATTCCTCTGTCTTTGTTCAAGTTCTCACCTTGTGCATTCATTCTTCTCCTGAGTTTGGTGAGCATCTTTATGACCCTTACTTTGAATTCTTTATCAGGTAGATTACATATCTCTGTTTCATTAAGGTCTTTTTCTGAAGTTTAATGTTTTTTTTCACTGGGAACATATTTCTTTGTTTTCTCATTTGGCTTGGCTCTGTGTTTGTTTAGGCAAAACAGCTACTTCTCTCGGTCTTGAAAGAGTGGCCTTGTGAAGGTCATGAATGTTCTTGTTCACCCTTTCCCTAGCTCTTGGTTGTGTCTCGAAATGTTGTCTAAACTGCGTGATTTATTCTTTCTATGTCCCAGCTGTTGAGGGTATGTCAAAACCTGTCAGTGTTCCAAGGGGAGGGATTTCATTTAGCACTTGGTTTAAGGCTGATTGGAAGCCAGACCCTCAGGCAGCGGCTGTCAAAGTATGCAAATATATACAGTCCTGTGGGGCTGCAATTGGAGACCTAGTTGGCCTTCAGACAAGGTGATCTAGAAGTGTCTCCTGGATGAGAGCTGCAAAAACTGGGTCTCCAGACAAGTGTATAAGCTCCTTTCTGGGAGGTCTTGTCGAGTGATAGCATGGCCGAGAAGGTGCGCAAAGATTGTGTATCCCTGCTTATGTTCCCTGGGAGGGCCTCCACAGCCTCTACATGTGTGGGAAACCTGAAGCCTGTACTTCAGGCTAAAGCTCCAGGCTAAGTAAATAGGCCTTTTTCACAGGAAGATTGTGTGTTTCAGTCTGCTATCTGTGCAGTGCCCTGGGGGTGGTGGCCTACCAAGAACTGTCTCTCTAATCATTACATTCCTGTGGCGCTCAGGAACACCAGCGACTTGGCCACCAAAGCCAGGTGATCAAAGGGGTACTCTGTGTAGATGCCATCCACGCACACTGAAATTATGCTAGTTTTCTATATTATTACAATTGGATCTGTTAAATCAATATATGAGAAATGCCAGAGAGGCCTTATAATAAGCCTCTGATTCCATGGGTATCTTACAATAAACCTCTGGGATGCCTTATAATATGAAACAACTAAAGTCTAGTTTCAGAACATGAGGGAAAAGATAGAATATTGGGTATTGGAAACCCACAAAATATCCAAATCTTAGTTTATGGCTAAAACTCTTAATCTGTCATACTTGTTGACAAATTATAAACTGTACTGGTTCAAATTCCATTAAACAGTTTTTTTCCTCTGCTCATTTCTGAGGGTGGGATGATAGAGGGTGAGTAAAATATCAAAGGAGGCTAAAAATCTCCAAGCCAGGTCTTGAAGCCAAGGTGGTATTAACCAGGGAGTGCTGCTGTCCTCTGAAGCCAGAGCTTCCTGGTGCAGGCTCCTGGAACATCCTGGAGTGCCCGACATCTCCCCTCACTCTCTTTGAATTCTAAAGATGTTGCCAGAGAGAAAAAGAGCTAGGGAGAGGAAGGAGAAGGATGTGGGGTAAAGTATAAAATATGCTTTTGGAAGAAAACAAGTAGCAAGTCCCTTGACAAGGTTTTTCTTGGCTTTACATTTTAGTGAGCTTTTTAAGCAGCTTGATGGTGCCTGAGGTTCTGCCATTATAGCTGCATTTGTTTGGCTTAAGATTTTGATAAGACTCTTAAAGTGGAAATACCTCTGGGACTCATATGCCTAATGAGCAAGGAGTAGCAAATCAATGACATTGACCATAGGAAGTGGTGGGACTCTGGCAAATTGGAGAATACATGCCTGTCCACAGGGACAGCCTCTGTGTGGCTTGGCTGGCTGCTCTTAGGCAGGAGTGTGGACCTTATGGTATTTTCAAAAGTTAATAATCAGTATTTTAATGAGAGATTTCATGATTTTTAAAGTGTTAGTAACTAATTCCACACTGAACACACACACACACACACACACACACACACACACACACACAGAAGGCCAAGCAAAACTCACTTGTGGGCTGGATTCTATCCATGGGTCACCAGTTAGCAACCTTTGTTTTGGACTTTACTACCCACTGGATCTCCAATGTGAAATAATTTATCACATCCTTTGCCGGTACAGAAGAGAGGGAAGGAGAGAAGAAATGTAAGATCATTCACACAGAGCTGTGAGTGAACAGAGAGGAGAAGAGGGGTAAGGGAAAGAAGATGGCAGTGAAGGCTTCATTATTTTGAGTGGACTGGCCGTGGGCCACCAAGCCCCATAGTAGATGTGCTGCCTTCCAACAGCTGAACATAAACGAACAAGTCAAATCCTAATATTTCTGGATGCTGTTAATTCTAAACTTTTTGAGTCATTCTTTACATAGGGAACTCATAAAATAGTGTAAAAATTATTTTCACGGGTGATATGCAGTATCCCTGACAGAGAAGTAAGTTCATAACACTCATTCACATAATACAAATGAAAACTACTGACAGGTAATTCTTCTCTAGTCATGGATTAAACATCTCTAAAGACTTCCTTATGATTGTTATATGTAAAAAATAATATTATATTACATTATATTTTATAACACATAATTTTAGCTTGTTTAGATGGACTTTTAACCAAGCTCTGAACATGAGATTTCATTGTGCTGCACTGAACCTTCTCACAACCCGGAGGGGGACAGCAAATGGGATCATCCCTCCACCCGCCACGGGTTGGTAAATGTTCCCATTTCTCTATGAGCTTATTGAAATACCTCCTTCCTACTTCCTCCAAAGGACAGCCTTTTCTGCCTCAGGAAGGAGTAGACATAGAGGCCACAATGACGGAGACTTACCAGATGTGCACAAGAAGCTGCCGTCCAGTGCTGGAGAGGACCGCGCCATGCTGCTGGGGTTTGCAATGATGGGCTTCTCAGTCCTCATGTTCTTCTTGCTTGGAACAACCATCCTAAAGCCTTTCATGCTCAGGTAAGAAATACAGAAAGGAGACCCAGAATTTTCAATTTGAATCAGATGCAAGCACAATGTTAGAGGAGAGGAAGCTGGCTTTGGTTTCTTCAGCCCTCCTGACCACTGTCTAAGGGACGATAGAATCACCTGTTCCTTTATCAGTGACGGGAGGCGATTGGGTGTAGAGAAAGGTGTCACCGTAACAAAGTGGAAGACACTCCTTTGTCACTCCCCCTCTTCAATCTGAAAAGTACTTCTAACAGCTGATCTGTAAATTAGATATGCATGGAGGGAATACATTCTTCCTTTAATAAACAGATATCACAGGGAAGGGTTAATTTAACTCCTTTATGTGAGCACAATAAGTTATTTAAGTCTGAGTTTTTTGAGTTTGACAGTGTCAACCTAGCACATAGTAGTTTCTCAATAAGTGTTTCCTTCTTTTTATTTTATTCATTATTAAATATAGCTAATAACAGTTATCCTTTATTAAATATATACTCTATGCCAAAATATACTATATTTATCCTATTTAAATCTGCAGCAAACCTATGATGGTAGCATTATTTTATCATTTTAACTTTCATTTTATTTTTTTTTTGTTTTTATTTTTTAATGTTTATTTTTGAGAGGGAGAGAAGGGCTGTGAGCAGGAAAGGGGCAGAGAGACAGGGAGACAGAGAATCCCAAGCAGGCTGTATATAGCACAGAGCCTGACATGGGGCTTGATCTCAGGAACCATAAGATTATGACCTGAGCTGAGACCAAGAGTCTGATGCTTAACCAATTGAGCCACCCAGGTGCCCCTTAATATTCATTTTATAAATGAGAAAGCTGAGACTCAGGCCAAGTAACTTGCACAAGGTCACCTAGCCAGGAAAGAACTTGCTTGTCATTTTGATATAAGACTGGCCTCCTAATACTTAAATGAAGTTTGTAGCAATGGCTGCGGGGGATTTCATTAGGGCAGGGGAGGAGCTGTTTGATTTTGGAGGATGGCTTTTACAACATGGGGTACTTTGAGAGAGGGCAGTACTGGGGAGGGGGAAAGCAAGGGGCACTTTCCCTTTGGTTAGCTAGAGTGATAGAAGGCCCAGGAGAATAGAGAGAGGGAGGCCTAGGAGTTCAGTGAAGAAACAGGATCATAGAACAGGAAGTGGGTGTCCTGCTTTTGCTATGTATCAGGTTCATCTCCGGCCATTCCTAAGTTACTATTAGGGCAATAATGTGGAGGCCACCATCACTACAGAACACAGTGCCAGTACTAGAAGTGCCCAGAAACATTTCCCTCTGGTATTATCACCAGAAGAATATGTTCTGCTTCTGATCAACCAGCTTACTTTTCGTTAGTAGACACGAGGAATCTTATCTGTGGCTATATATTTTTCATTGCTTTGGCTGCCAGGAAGTTCAGAGTGAAATTTGTGGCCTAGTTCTCATAACTGTAAGGGATCTTATGGTTTGCAGTTTACATGCTTTACCTCACTCTTGACTTTTAGCTTTCTACCTTCCTTTTCCCATTACTTCATTATATGTAGAGAGATATCTATTGTCTGTCTGTCTATCTATCTATCTATCTATCTATCTATCTATCATCTATCCTTCCTTCCACCCATCCATCCATCCATCCATCCATCTAGCTGCATTACACATACCTATGTAAGCTGAATTGTGTGTGTGTGTGTGTGTGTGTGTGTACATGCACGTGCATGGGCGCACACGCATATGCATGAGTGTTTGTGTGCAGGCCCAGGTCAGATTATTTTTTTAAATGTGATAATTTGGGAGATGTTTTGAGGATACCTTCTGCAACCTGATGCCAAACCTGATGCTCGTATTTAAATTTTTACTTTGCTAAGCATTTCTGAAAATTGTTTGCTTAAAGTTATTAAGCAAGTGCTTGAGAGTGGCGAGTTCTCATCTGTCTCTTGCCTTGTGATTTTGTGCCACCTCAGAAAGTGCTTTTGTTCCATGGAAGATGGCCTACTCCCACCCCCTCGACCATCATCTCTCAATCAATTGATAGATTTTGTGTATTTGTAGGCAAATAGACACACAATCCTGTTGAAAGAACATGCTTATGTTTTCAGCTCTAAATACATGCCTGGTTCCAGGTGCCTGGGTGGCTCCATCCGTTAAATGCTCACCTCTTGATTTCAGCTCAAGTCATGATGGTGTGGTTCATGAGATCAAGCCCAGCTTTGGGCTCTGCACTGCTTGGGATTCTCTCTTTCTCCCTTACTCTCTGCCCCTCTCTTTCTCTCCCAAAAAATAAATAAGTAAACTTTAAATATGTCCCTGGCTCTGCCTGAGAGGACTGGCCTGGCCCTCGTACACAGGAAGAAATATACAGCTCTCCATATTGGAGCTTTCTGAAATCTTTAAGGAAGGTTCCAACACACTCAGTTCAGTACTTGGTTAGGATTCAGAGAGCTTAAGTCTAACACAGACAAAGAGACAACTTTAAAGAATTATTTTAAGATGCCTAGTCTAAATAAGTACAGGGCTTAATTTTGTGGAAAAGCAGGCTGGTGTTAAATCTGTGAAAGAACCTTATTTTTCATATTTGTATTTTCACTTGCCCAACATTTTATTCTTTAGGCCACATCCAATGATTTGTTTTTAATGCCCTGGGCCTTAAGGTTATTTTAAACTGCACTGTGTCTCAAGTTTATTATATGAATCAAGAAAAATGTTTACTTACTGCCAAAGATCTTAATGGGAGAGCATGAACCTAGCTAAATGAGGCTTTCCAAACATTCTGATTTTAGAATTTGCTAACCTAACGTCTTGTGGTTAAGTCACCAGGAGATAAGGTCAGGGACCCACGTTGAGGCCCCAAGGAGTAGTCCTGTACATTGTCAAGCATTTCTTCTTACCCTCCTCTACTTTATCTTGGACTTGTCCTCTAATCATTTTATACATATTTGTCATTTCAACGCCACCACAAAATTTTCGTGGGCAGGAATTTTGTCTACCACTTCTCATGGCACCTAGAACGTTGAGTGCATGTAGTAGGTGTGCAAATACACAAGGAATGTTTTCCAAGTCAAACTTTCATTCAGTACAACACTTATTGAGCCTGTACTGTGTGGGAGGCATGGTGCCTCCTGTTTTGAGGAACATAAAGATGAATAGGATGTAGCTCCTGACCCCAAGTTACCTACTGACAGTGAAAATATGGTAAGTTTTCTAATGAGACATTCCTTCTATTTGCCTCTTTGGAAGTGGAGTGAGTAAATGGAATTGTACCTTGTTACTAGAATTCTATATTGACTAAGGGCCACGTTGACTGTGGTTGGACTCTCCCAAAGGCACATTTTCAGCAGTACAGGCCAGTGGGTGCATCTTGAAATGACGACGCATGAACGAGGATAAGATTTCTGAGTATGCGGTTACAGTAATATTTGTCAAAGCATGGTTTGCCAAATACTTGCATCTTAAATACTCCTGCATATACAGATTCCTGGGCTTCACCTCAGATCAACTAAACCCAAATCTCTGGGTGTGAGGCCTTAGAATCCATAAATTCTTCACTTTAACAAACTCGCTCAGGTGATTCTGAAGTTTGAAAACCAATGCTCTAAGGGTTGGTGTAATAAGGAATATGCCCATGAGGTCATAACTGAGATGAAATTTAGCAATTTGCTGTTGTTTTCCCCCTTTTTCAATGTTCTCCATGTTCCCTAATCATTATGTACCTTCTGGGATGGTTCCACATTCCCTTGAAATAGACACATATCTTGGGTTATTACATTAGAACTATAAAAAGTAAATTTTCTAGAGGGTGAAGATCATTTATCTTTTCCAATTGAAGCACTCAGAGAGAAGAGTCGAACTGCACTACCATCCACACTCACATCATGGACGACTGGATGGACTGTGCTTTCCCCTGTGGTATGAGCTGCCAAGGCCGGGGCAAGTACCCATGTCTTCAGGTGTTTGTGAACGTCACTCATTCAGGTCAGAAAGCTCTCCTACATTATAATGAAGAGGCTGTCCGGATAAATTCCAAGGTAAGGTAAAGTTCATGTAATTAAAGAGTTCTAATTATAGCCGCCCTTCCGTGCCAGACCACCCCCTGCAGAGTGCAGAACCCAGGACCATTTCTGTTGGTAAATCCGTTTCCTTCCAGTGAACGTCTCTACAGTGGTCAGAACAGGATAAATGAAGCTAAGGGCATTCTTGGAGGAAAAATGGGGGTTATAGAATGGAAAGGAATCATGCCAGTTCCATACACTGGTGTCTGGAATTTACAGGCCAAGCCAGTGGACAGTCATTTGTGGGCAGTTTGACTTTTGGAAGCCCAACTCCCCATTGTATCAAAAATGTTAATATGTACTCACAACCCATCTTACATCAAGTAAGCAATTTTTCTTATCAAGAAATGTGAAGGATTATTGTAATTTTGATTTTGATAGGTTTCTCAATTGGTTCACATGATTTATAGTGTATATTTTCACCTATGAAAGTTGGGTTGCATTAGATTAGTTGACATGCTATGCTCTGCTGTCTTTACTTAGGCACTAATCAATCTGATGATCTATGTTTTCTATTTTGGATGCAATAATTCTTAAGGTTTCAAACAATTTCATATGCCCTAAGCACAGTGCCTCGAGTGCTTAGTGGATATGCTAACAAACCTCAAGCTTTTTTGAAAACATATCACTAGCTGACATATCCCTTCTTCACTAGTTCTGCAACCTGGGAGCCAAAGCCCATGTAGGCCCCCTCTCTGTGGGCCTAGGGAAAAAGCTTCAACATGCTACCCTTTAGGGAAAGATTTGACTACAGGAAATCAAGAGAAAGATGATAGAGGCATTAATAGGTGTTGAGAACACATAGTGAGCTCAATAGAGGTTTGTTGAATGGACAAAGACCGAGGGGGCCTGCACGGTCCTTATGAAGCTGGTCACTGCCTCTTCTGCAATGTCTGTATCCTAAGAATCCCTTCCCACATTTCTGCTTAGTGTCTGGAAATGGCCACGTCACTCTGTGCCCTCCTACCCACACGTCCCCATGACTTCTACAACAGCTTCCTTCCTCCAGCTTCTGAGATTGAAACTCTCCACGAATAGCTTCAGTTTGAAGTGCTTTCAGAATGAAAACTGTTGTTTAAATGCTTGGTTTTGGGGACAGTGCCCTCATCTCTCTTCTTCTTCCACATTCCTAGTGCTTTTACACACCCACGTGCCACCGAGATAGGAATGATTTGCTCAACAGTGTGCTGGACATAAAGGAATTCTTCGATCACAGAAATGGGACTCCCTTTTCATGCTTCTACAGTCCAGACAGCCAATCTGAAGATGTCATTCTCATAAAAAAGTATGACCAGATGGTTATCTTCCACTGTTTATTTTGGCCTTCACTGACTCTGCTAGGTGGTGCCCTGATTGTTGGCATGGTGAGATTAACACAGTACCTGTCCCTGCTGTGTGAAAAATATAGCACCGCGCTTGGAGATGAGGTAGGTGGCAAAGTACCTTATATGGAACAGCATCGATTCAAACTGTGGAGTGTGGGGAGGAGCAAAGAAAGGAGCAGAAAGATCTGAAGACAGTGGCCAGATTAAAGTCCTGGCTTTCAGATACCTGCAATTTTTGCACCTGAGGACCTAATGATGCCTGCTCACAAACTAACCATATAGCGGCAATTCAAAGCAAGTACACGTACTTGATATGGGAAACATTTAAAAAAAGCCTCCTTATGCATTTATTCTATGAACACATATAAATTCGCCCTCTTTTTTCTACCACAAATTTCTTTCCACATGAGCCAAGGAAATGCTTTTTGTCCCCACGTGGCAAAATGAACTCACAGTAGCTCTAATTTCAGCTCTAACTGGAACTTGTCCGCATGGAAGTAAATGGTGGAGGGTTTTTAGTACCGAACAACCAGCCTAGGTCTATGCAATATAGTTTACGTCAAAACATTCCTCAAAAAATTCTTAGTGAAGAACAAGTTATTTGTTGTTAGGAAGATAATAATCTAGTAATTTCAAAAAAAATGTGGGCCTACCATTTTGCTTCACCATTCATGATAAAGAAGGAAAGCCACTCCTAGCAAATGCACTAAGTTTAGAGTTCTCTGTACTTAACCTTGCCATGTACCATGTAATTTTTCTTTCAGCAAGATTCTCCTAGTTAATTACGCTTTCCATAAGCTCATTTTCTTCTTTGTGCACATTCTGGTGGGGGTGGGAGGGATGGCCAGAAATGGGAAGTAGGGAGAAGCTGTACTGGATGGAATTTAACATTCATCTCAGATAATCTGCATTGTAGAAAAGTCCCACGTGGACAGTCAGCAAATGTCCAAACTTTAATGACTCAACCATGGTTATTCACCAACGAATGTCACAGGCTCTCCCAACAAGTGCTTTCCAGAGTGAGCTGAATTGGAATAGAAAACATCAATTTGTTCTGAAAACCAAAGTGCCTCAAAGTATCTTTTCAATTTTACTAAAAAAGTCTTACATCATGGACCATAGAAAGAATGAGACTTTTGAAGCAACTTTTATATGCAGATGTAATCAAAACAGAAATTTTAATTCTTAGTAAATATTATGCCTTTTAGCAGTTAATTTCAAGTCACAAATTACTAAACAGACTGAATGATTAAATAAAGCAATACTGACTTGACAAGTAATGAACAATTTTGGTGCTCCTTCTTCTAGTGTGGAATAGTGGGAAGCACATGCGTCTCAGAGGATTTAACTGAATTCATAGGCCATAATCACAACTTTTCAGATATGTATCCCCTGGCAGTTCAGCTGAATGGAAATGAAGGTTCAAGCCTCTCTCTTCTCATTTATAAAATGGGGATAATCTCTTCCTTCATGGGGTTAAGGAATAAACAAGGTAGAGTATGTAAAACACTTTAGTTTCTGGCACCTAGTAAAAGTGCTCAAAAATGTTAGTAATTTTTTTTTTGTGCTAAGTTTCTATATTCAGTCAGCCTTATCCCTGTTTTGGGTAAAAATCCAAAGCAAATGGAATCAGTACCTCTGAGAGATTACTTTACTCCCCTGTTCACTGGACCATTATTGACAATGTCCAAGATATGGAAACAACCTGTGTCTATTCACAGATGAATAAATTGTGATCTCTCTCTCATACACATACACAATGTACACACATATGTGAGGTGTGTATACATACACACAATGGCATATTATTCAGTCTTTTAAAAAAATTTATGTCTTTTATTTTGAGAGACAGAGAGCGAGCGGTTGAGGGGCAGAGAGAGAGACACACACACACAGGATCTGAAGCAGGCTCCAGGCTCTGAGCTGTCAGCACAAAGCCCGATGTGGGGCTCGGACCCATGGACTGTGGGATCATGACCTGAGCCGAAGTCGGATGCTTAACTGACTGAGTCACCCAGGTGCCCCTCATCCAGTCTTAAAAAAGGAGATCCTGCCATTTGCAACGACGTGGATAAACCCAGAGGGCATTATGCTAAGTAAAATAAGCCAGACACAGAAAGGAAAAAACTGCCTTTCACTGATGTGTGGTTTCTAAAAATGTCAAATACACAGAAGCAGAGAGTAGGATAGTGATTACTGGGGATGTGGTCAGGTAGGAGAAATGGGGAGATGTTAATTAAAATGTACAAACTCTGCTGTAAGATGAAGTCTAGAGAGCTCATGTACAGCATGCTTATGGCAAGAATACGAGGCTGAATACTGGAACTCTGCTACGAGAGTAGATTTCAGGTATTCTCATCACACAGACACACAATGTGAGGAGATGATACATTGATTCGCTTGACTATAATCATTCACTGTACATGAATATCAAATTATACTGTACATCTTAAATATATACAATTCTTATTAAAAAGTAAAATATATTCAGTCAGCCTTGGTACCTTTCCCTGGACAGCTGGTTCGAGGGGCCAGGGTAGAGAGCTGTAGGAGAGCATATCTCCCCACCTTCTCTTGGCTAAATATAATATACATTTAAGACTCAGAACATACTGCTTAAAAGGTTGCAGCAAATTATTTTGTATACCAAAGACTTTCCTGAAATAAAAGATGTAGGCACACATATTTTAAATCATTCTGCAAATTGAGATTCTATAGATTTCTAAAGGGCAGATCTCTATTCCCTTTCTTAGTAAGTTTGACACCCATCTAACAATGTGCAGTTCTCGGGATTCAAAACCACTCGCGTAAAGCCTAAAAAGTCTGTGAAAGTGTGAAACCTAGTGTTGCAATGACCAGTTTTCCATTCATACAGTGCGGCTGCTTGGTTCACCTCACAGCCTCATCTCAGGAAAGAGGAACATTATGCTTGGAGAACAAAGTTCATTTAGAACAATGTTAATTCAAAGTCACGCAAAGCGTTTGGCAAAGAAACAAAAGGTAAGCCATCATTTGCTGTTAATTGCTTTGAAGTACAGAGTATTGACGCTCACATGTATTACTGGCCCAAGAAAAGTACCTGTTGCAAGGCTTACGGTAACTGCAAGTAAAATCAGTCTGCTTCTACCCCAATCTCACTTTTAGGTTCTGGTCTCCAACAGACTCAAAAAAAGCCTGTCTACACACACAAACACATTCATACGTGTATGTGTATGTTTCTGCTTGAAACGCATATAATTCTTTCTGCTTAAAAGAAATTAATATCAAACAGATATCTCTAATATTCATCACTAGGGCAGAACAATTGCTTTTAAGGCATAATCGTTTCAGGCTTTCAGTCAACTATTCTTAGTTGTTATTGATCAGAACTCAAGTTCAGCTAAATTTCGATTACTAGCAACACCAATTTGCTTGTAAGTATTCAAAAAAATGGCAAAGTATAGTTATCACGGGTTTTTGTTTAAAATATGTAGTACACTAAGGATTGCTTGGACACCAGTCATTTTTTTGTTTGTTTGTTTTTTTTTAATAAACAGCGTGATGTTACAGACTGCAAAGTTAAAAGAAAAGCAGACATTGACAGTTTCTGATGAGCACAAACAGTTAAGTGCAGTCACAGGCCAAACTTCTTGCTGGGAACAGCAAGACTGGGAAGAGGTCTTAAATTTAGTGACACTGTATTATTCTATATTCTCAGTACAATAACACATGCATCTTGCTGTGTCAAATCCTTTTTGGGTCATCAGTTAAAGAATATCTAAAAACATTTTTCTCCTAATGAATGCAGTACACCACAGGAGTTCAATTCATTGAATGACAAAATATAGAGAAATAGATTTGCTACAATAAAAGGGGCCAAAAAAGGGTGGTGGGGGCTTCTTGTTGAAGCTTCCGAAGTCAACATTTGATGCTCTAATAGTCTTCTTTTGGTTATGCTGCATTCCCCATGATGGGTTATGTTCCCGAAGGATATATTCTTTTAGATTTTATTCAACCCAAGGAAGTCCGAGGACCGAATCACATCGAAACTATTAGTTGTATTTGAAACTTAGGTTCCAGAGCCAAAAGCATTTCTAGAAACCACATGAAGGCCAAGCTCTCCAACCACTCTTTGGAACATAAATGTGATAAAGGGCTTTTACTTATGAAATTGATAGATCAGGACTACATTTGGAAATTCATACTCAACTTAAGGAGTTTAGTCTTATTAAAGATATTTTGAGAGAACATAAAACAACGAAAATTTTCTTCCTCCTTGCTTACCTAGAAGGAGTAACAAAAATAAGAATCACCTAAAAATATACATGGCTCTTAGCATAACCACAAAATTGTTGTAGTGACAGATTATATAAGATTTCAGACTTAACTGGCTTACAAAATGCATTAAAAAAACCTTTCCATACTTACCAACAGGAAGAATGGAGGCTACTGTTGGTAGTGAAAATCAGTTACCTAAACTACACTAAATGTACAATGGGCTGATCCCCTCCCTCCCGCCCACCAACCGCCCCCAACCCCCCACTAAAACTCATATGTCACTGTGTAAAAAGTCAGAAGATTTCCTTATGGCTCATAACTGTCACTTTATGCTAACTAGCACGGCTGTAATATTAACATGTCTACAACTAAGGAAAAGGAATGGTGCTTCACTGATAAAAAAAAAAAGTGTGAAACCTTAATCAAGTGGAATACTTGGATCAAATAAGCTTATTTAAAAACTAACATCCCAACTTGGGAAACTCCTAGTAAATTCTAAACACTTCTGAGCTTTAGAACCTGATGTTTACACCTTTTATGGAAGATGCCTGTTGCCTAGGGCTAGTGAGCAGTGTGTATGCAAAGAGAAATGTGTGCAGATATAAACACACCAATTTCACTAATAATAAGGAAAAGAGAAGACAGCTAATTTTGAATGCCGAATTCAAGAACCTAGTACCATAAACTTTCTGGCGCTGTAGCCTTTTCCATGGCTGGAGTAATGATTAAATTTTAACCACAATTTTTTCTTAATATCTCCAATGCCATTAAAACAAGGCATGCCAACTCTGACTTTATACATCTAAAACTACAGTGCTCTGGAAATTTCTGTAACATCAGAGCCTGAAGTACTGAATTGTGACTCATTAATTTTTTTTCTTTTTAACCTTCTGAGGTAGAGTTACCAATCCAATTTTATCAGGACCATAGTTATCTTAAGCTAAACCCCGTAATCTTTTCAGAAAGTGAAAATAACTTTGTAAGGAAAAAAGGCTTTCCAGGCCATGGCACGTAAGATACATTTATAATTTTAATGCAATTAAAAAATAAAAATGGTTTGTGTTTGTATTTTAAAAAACAGCCCAGCTGTATTTCTCTGTCACCAAGAATTGTTATCTGAGGATCCTGTCCATGCTGAGTTTTATACTTCAGCCTTCACAATCCCATCCTTGATGAAGAGTTATTTCCCTCATGGTATGCACAGTATACTCACAGCTTTCTGCTTTGTCTTTCAAAGGCCCCATCTAAGGCTTCCCTTAGAGGCGCCCCATCTGAGCAGGATGGGCATGAAGAATGTAATTCATTCAGACTCCCCCTGTTCTGCCCCCTCCTTGCACATTCTCCTCTTCTCAAAAACATCTGAAGTATGAAAGTTGTTTTTAGATAGTAGAAGCACCACAGTCCATTAACACCGCATAGGGTCTTTAACCTGAAACATTTTAGTGATGTCTTGGACATCAAAGTCGATTTCTAAGGTGGATTCTGAGTACGTGGGTCCAGCCCAGGTCTGCAGTTTATGTAGACATAGAAACAAAAGGAAGTCAAAACATTCGGAAAAGGTTAACCTGCTGACTTTAAAATAATGCTGGAAATCAATTTTTTTTCAAAGAGTTGGCAAGCATGGGCTATTGGTCAGAATATGAATTAAGTGGATTTACAAAATCATTAAGAAACAAATCCAAGTTTATGTGTTGTGAAATTTCCACGATTCTTTTAAAATAGATAGGCTGTTTATAATTTTTTATGATGCTAGATCACTCAATTTTTGATGGAAAAAGAATACAGGATGGACTGTATTTTACCTATGTGAAAATCACCAATCCATTCAAAATAAAATCCAAGAGGGTATATACATTCTAATCAAGTCATTGATTATTTTCCTGATTAATAAGAACTACACTTTACACAAAATACTTTATCAGCAGCTGTTTTCATCAAAAAACCAATAGTCATAGTTTCACAGTTGAAAAAATTACACATTAAAATATTTTACAATTCATTGTATATTCACCAGGTTCCCATTTCCTAAAGGGCTTGTAATATAAAGCAGATTAGAAGGGAAAACCTCAGAGTTGATTACTTTTGACACTGAGTTTTACAGAGGACACTAAGAACCACAAAAAGCTTAGGTTCTATCAGAAAATAGTGACCAAATTCCATTCTTCTTTAAAAAATCCAATTAGAAACATCTTTTTTAAAAACCAAATTCTACAATATGATTAACAGATTTCAAATTAACAGCAGTCTAAAAATCTTCAAAATAAATGATTCTGTATAGCTGAGAATATGATAAAAAGTTAAAACATGATTTTCAGATTATATCTTACTAGAACTTGTTTAAAATTAAGTTTTATTTTCTTTAGGTTCTTTAAACCTGCTTTTTTTTTTCCCTCCAAAAGTCATTGAAGGAAGTATTTTTCAAGTGACCAAATGAGACTGTTGAGTCAACAGTCAGTTATACCACATTCAGTGACAAGGATGGTCGGCCACAGGAGCCGACCAATCCACGGGGTAGGGTGAGGGGGGTGACCAGACACTGCAGTACCTGGAAACGGCTTACCACTGACTTGACATCCTAGTCACCCTATGGAGTATTCAATTCAGTTTTTGGTTCTTTGCTTTCTGAGCACTACCTGACCCTTTTTTCTTCTTTTTAATGTTGTCTGCTTAAACTCCACTTGGATTTGTGTAAAGTTTACTTTGCTTTTAGCAAAATCACTTAATCTATAGAATCTTAATTCTATTCTTAGTAAAATTTGTCTACACGTCTTCAAACAGAATTAACTTGGTTGTAATAACTATTGAAAATAAATGTAATGATGAAATAAGCTGTGTGGCTTGTGTTTTAATGGTGGAGAGGTCCCAGGGGAAGGGGACTATCTGGGCTCATGTGAGAAATGCACAAATTATATACATTTTGTGCAAGGAAGCTCAAAGCTTTTTTGGCACTCGGGTAAAACGTGGTTCTCTGTTAAATCTCCAGTTTCTATCATCAGAGTTTCAGATTTGTACTATTTCACTGAATTTTCCTGTGGTTAATCCCTGACATAGAAGAGACTGGGATGTTAGCATGTGTTAACTGAATATATGTAAAAGGCACAAAATGTTAAAGAAGTTTTAATAAGTTATGAAATCTCTATCTGCAAAAGAATCTATTTGGCTTCCTGCTTAAAATGGGAGTTTAAATTCTTCTTAACTATTCCAAGACAGTTTACAGGAGTTAAGTTCCCCTAATCTTCAAATTTATTTTTCTTGTTGGCAATATTATGTACATGCTTTAGTGGAGTACCTAAATCTCCAGTAATTAGGCCCTTTAAGGGTTCTAAAACAGCCAAATATTAAGAGTATTTCTATTAGAGTCCCTTGTTCACTATTCAAGACTTCTATTATAGGTAACTGATTTCATAAGTGAATATCGTTTAAGTGGTGCTGTTTTACTAGAGTGTATAATGTGCACTTTTTATAAAGTTGTATTCCAATAATACACCTAATCTAGAAAACTGTCAGTAAATTATTGCACTTTTTCTGGTGTGGCACCTGGACGTTTGCTAAAGCTATTTCCTAGGGCATTAATCATTCATTTCAAATACTGAGTAAAATAACAGATTCTAGAATGATGACTAGCATTAGCCCCTACATCTTGGGTTAATGTTTTCCAAAGTGTTTAAGAATGTATCATGTACTCAAATGCAATTTAACAAAGTTGGAGAGTGAGCCCTAACCGCTTGGAAATGGGACATGATCTTAAAATGGTTTAAGGTCCTACTTTTATTATTGAGATATTGCATAAATAGCCTAAAAAGGTAAAAAGTTCATGGTTTCTATTCCCCCATATTATAAAGTATTATTCATGAGCATACCTCGGTAGAGGGGCTGGAGCAATCAGGAAGATATGCTATACTGTTTTAATTTTGGTAACTAGTTTCATGATTGAGGCATTATCAACTACAAAAGAAGGTGGAAAATGGGGGATTCATATGAAAACAGAAATAAAAGGAAAGAGGATGAACTTCAATCAGTTTTCCTTATGTAGTGATACATTAGTCATTGGTATAAATGGGATAGTGCCTGAGCCTCACCCACGGACCGAGAGAAAAGCTGACCATGCTGCTACGGACAATAAAAAATTTGGGGTGCAAAACAATGCATGACTATGGGACAGATCATGTAAATAAAGAATATATATTAATGATAGTTTCTATAATATAAATAGCCTTTAATAAAAAAAATAATCTTTTTTAATAACATTAATACTCACTTCTATTTTCTGGAAACATGCATGAAAAATGTATTCAATTCAATTGCAAAAGGAGAAAAAAAAAATCAACCTAAGGCGAATACTGTACAATTCTGGAGCAGAACTCTTCCTGCTCCTTCTTTATCTACGATGATTATTGTACTTTGTGGGAGCCCAGAATTTCCCTGGGAAATAAGAATCAGATTCTTGTAAATACTGTCCAGGAAAAAAAAAAAAAAACACCCAAAAACACCACCTTATAACAGGTCTCATTTGTGACTGCTTCCAAAACTTTGCAGATAAGACCCCAAATCGTCAAAAGGTTTGATTTATTAAAAAGGAAAAGTCTCTGGTGAAATCTCAAGAGTCCCTTCCACCCCAAGCAGTTTTCTTCATTAAACAAGGAGTCAAAAAACCCACTTCAAACTATAAATTGAACAGCAATGGAAAAATAAGAAATCTTCATTATTTTCTAATCTTAATGCAATTTAACATCAAACTTCAGTTTCCTTGGACCTAATGCAATAATAGACTTTGTTGTGTCCACAATTTCAAAACATAGAACATTTGCAAGACAAAAAAAGAACATCATTCTTTTTCCTTCTCCGTCATTTCTATATATTTTGGGGTTTTTTTGTTTTGTTTTCTTTTTTAAAAAAAGATACAAACAATCTTCAAAGTTTACCTTTTTGGACTTAAGGCATAACATGAAATTGCGCATTATTCTAAAGCTTAATTTTGAAATGAACTAGTTTAGTGCTCTTAAACCCTGTTTGCGTTTACATTATTTAAATTATATAGTATTTTACTTCTGTTCTTGTGTAAATTCTAATGCTGTTCATGGATTGTGCAATTCCTATGCAATCAGTCTTTGCCTGTTGACAGTTATTAACAGTGCAGTATAGAATCCAGATAATGAGCTTTTGGTTTCTCAGTTATCATTTCAGTTCAAAGCATGCTGCTTAATTGTGTGGAAGATCCAATCCATTTTTGTTGTCCAGCCACCATGATGTGCATCATTCATTTGTTTCATGAAATATTCCAAAGCCTCTTGTTCAGTTTTATCTAAAGCTAGGGTCTTTCGAATGTATGCAATATCATCAAAAGACTGCAGTTCTGGCATTCCAGAGCCAAGCATCATTGAGAAAAGATTTATGAAGAGATTGGCATGCTGCCGAATAGCTAGGTAAGCCTTGTAACACATCTCCTGAAACCTATAAGTAATAAGAACAGTTCATCAGTATGGAGCAAATGGGGTTAAGACCTTCAGGCCTCTGCTCAAATGTCACGTCATTAGAGAGGCCTTCTTGGGCAAACCTATTAAAAATAGCATTTCTCTGCCCACTCCCCTTGCCAAGACTTTCTACCCTCTTTACCCCACACTAGAATGTAAACTCTGTGAGTCCATAGGATTTTGTTTGAAATCCAGCACCTAGAATGATGCCTGGCACATTAGTAGTTTATTAAGGATTTTTTAAATGTTTGTACTGGTCCATACTAAAGCCTTTAGGGTTTAGGCTAGGGCCAGGATAGAGTTACAGATAAAATGAGATTTTAGAACTTAAAAGTATTTTAAGGTCTGAGATAGACTGATGATATATATACTAGAAGGTGGTAAGAAAAATTATGAATACACATGATAATTATAGTTGACTGATCTCCTCAAATTGTATGACTGAACAATGTTGTCTTAAGCACTATTTATCAGTATAGAGAAGGTGTGGTCCAATCATTTAAACAGCAGTAAATAAAAACTTTTAATATATTAATAAGTTTAAGAGTCACTTTCTTAGGCCTTAATTAACTAAATAAATCATTTCAGGCCTTAATTAACTCAATAAATTGTACCCCCCCTTTTTTTCAGAGCATTACACAATAAATAACCACATTAAAATATTCAGTTATGCCAAAATGTTAACATTAAGTTGCTTGAAAAATATCACTTATTTTTGATAGAGCAGTGAGAATTCTATACTTTGCATTTTTGATTTCTTGAACTTACCTTTCAAATTCTCTTGTCTTTGTGCATTCTTGGGCTCCTTTACTAATCACTATTAAGAAATCTTGTGTCAAAACAAATGGCACACGCTCCCGCTTATAACCAAACTTTTTCTTCTTATGATCCAAAAAGTGTCCAAAATCTATATGAAATAGCTTTAAAAAATAAAGAATTATATTATAGCTTGACAAATGCAGAATACAATATCCCAAATTAATAAATAAAATCCCAAATTAAGAATGCCAAAACATTTTAAAAAGAGAAAGCTGTTACCTGTCCATCATCTTTAACCATGATGTTACTATTGTGACGATCTCCAATTCCCAGTATGAAGGTAGCGACACAGTATCCGGCACACGAGCGTGTGAACAGGTCAATGGCTGCATCATATCTACAAAGAAGAAATAGAGACTTTTTCAGCAGTGTGCAAATATAGTTATTAAGCAGGTCCAAATTGGGAAATGATGGTCAAAGTCTCTAGTAAAGAATGAAAACAATCACTGACATTAAGAAGAGTAAGTAATTATTTCCTAAGATTTGAGACAGACATTTCTAGGTATCCTCTGACTACAGCTGAATTCTTACTATAGTGAAAAAATACTGAACATGTCATGAAAAAAACATTTTTTCCTAATCATTTCAACGACCTTCAAGTATATTTTGAAATGTTTAATGATGATTTTTTTAAAAAAAGAATAAGCAATAAGAAAAACACATTTTAGATACCTAAAACTGAATGTATAAAGTTGGGTATATGAGATTTCACCAAAATTCAATTCTGATCATTCAAACACAAAATCTCAAGTATTTCAAAAGCCGAGCATAGTTTTTTCCAAAGTAAGAACAAATGTCTTCTCTGGTCTCAGAGAAATGTACATCACCATTAAAAGCCTGGTCTAACACAAACTTAGACGAACACAAGAAGACAAGAATAATAAACTCACATTTCTCCTTTGTTCTTGTCTTTAAGCCACTGGTGTAGCGTGTGGCTGTTGAACTGCAGTGCGCCTTTCAGGCCGCCTTTGCACTGAATCTGCATAATAGTGTGAGAATTTCTCACCACCTCAATAAGTCCCACACAGTCACCGATTGACAGACAGCCATAAGGTAACATTCTGAAAAAGGATCAAGACGTTTGCAATTAAATGATGGCATTTTAAAATAGTACATATTTTAGTAGGCTAATACAGGAATATTCTTTTTGCAAATTTGTCATGCATGATCTTCACTCCTTTTTAAATTTTTTTATTACACTATGACAAACATTCCTAGAAAAATCCTCAAAATTATCTGGCATCATTTGTTTTAACCTTCAAATGAGAAAGCATTTAATTATGTAAGAGAAAAGCATTAAGAAAATTACTGTGACAATTAAACTTGTATAAACATTTATGACAAAATTTTTCTTTTTAACATTTATCATTGAGAGACAGAGAGAGACAGAACATGATTATGAGAAGGGCAGAGAGAGGGGGAGACCCAGAATCTGAAGTAGGCTCCAGGCTCTGAGTTGTCAGCACAGAGCCTGAAGCAGGGCTTGACCATGAGACCATGAGATCATGACCTGAGCCTAAGTTGGAGGCTCAACTGACTGTGCCACCCATGTGCACCATAAACATTTATGATTTTAAAAATATGGGTGAATTTCAATTTGTTTAAATCTAAATCTGACACCTAATAATACTTTAAAGCAGTAGTTCTCAAATATTTGGTCTCAGGACTCCTATGTACCCTTAAAAATTACTGAGATCCCAAAGAGTTTTTATTTAGGTGAGCTACATCTACTGATATTAGAAATTAAAGGAGACAATAAAAAAATTAATGTATTAATTCATCTAAAAATAACAAACTCTTCTGCAATAATACAAATAATATCTTTAATGAAACAAAGGATGTCATATTAAAAAATTCTTAGAAGAGTGACACATTCCCAAATTTTCAAAGTCCTTTAAGGTGTGGTTCCACAGCGCTGAGCTGGATGCTCACATACACTTCTGTATTCAATCTAATGAAGTGTTTTAATTGAAGCATATGAAGAAAATCTGGCTTTGTACCATTATGTAGGTAGAAAAAAGAGGGGTACTGTAATAGCTTTTTCAGATAACTATAGATATTTTTCCTTGATACTATTCTAAAACTTGACAAGAAGTTGTTTTTCAAGTTACAGTATGGAATATGAAACTATCTTAAACTCTTCACACTCTGTTACATTAAAATCCATTTGTCTATCTTGCCTCTGAATGGAACTTTTATGCATATGTGACTTTATCACATGCTGTATTGGTCACCTGGAAGATACCAGTTCACTGAGTTATGAAGATCTTTCAAATGCTGACACTTTTCATTATATCAACTACAAAAATCACAATTGTTAATGACACCACTGATCTCATCAGTAAAGTCTTTAATTTGAGGAAGCTGTTCTGCTTACGGTGGTACACAAGTTTTTCAAAATTCTGATTTGTTGCCTGAGAGTTCAAATTTGATCTTTGACAGCAAATATTGTCAGTTGTTCACCTTGAAGAGATAGGCTCATATTAATTCATTTTCAAGAAAATGTCTGCCAAATACCCATGTCAATAACCAAAACTTATTTATTTGTTAAGTAAAAATGGTGTTCTAGGAAAAAAAGCAGCTATTTCAACTTACAACCCAAATAACCCACAAACGCTGTTTTTCTTGATAAAACCATACTTGGATACACAGAGGAAGTGCTGTATGGATTTCTCCCATTCATCACATGGTATTAAAAACAAAATGTAGACAAGGGAGATGTGAGGAGGAGTTAGAGACAATGAAAAAAAAAAAAACCATTTGGCACATAAGTACCAAAAACTATGGTTTTTAGTTCTGTTGTTTTCATAAGCTACTGGCAATTGTTTCCATCTTTTTTTTTTTTTTTTTTTACTTTTTTTTTTTTTTTTTTTTTTTTTTTTTTTTTTTTTTTTTTTTTTTTTTTTTTTTTTTTTTTACTTCTTAAGTTCCTAAAAGATTAC